CGTTGCCCGGAGGCTCGGTCCGTCCTTCCGGGCCCTGCTGTTTTGCTGTGGCGGAGGCGCCGTTTGTGAGCCTTGACGGCTGGAAGAGAGCTAGTTTGGGAGCCGTTGCCCGGAGGCTCGGTCCGTCCTTCAGGGCCCTGCTGTTTTGCTGTGGCGAGGGCGCCGTTTGTGAGCCTTGACGGCTGGAAGAGAGCTAGTTTTCTTGTACTTGCTGATGTTGTTCCAGGGCCCTGGGGCCCTTTTTGGTTGAGAGTCAGTTGGCACAAGCGAAGATAAATCAGATCCTTTTAACTTCTGATAACATTGGTGGCAAGTGTCAGCACTTCCGGATTAAATCCATTCTGATATTCTGACATTCAGTTCAATGATGAGGCATGCTGTTTCCTAGTGATCCATACTGATTCTGACGTTGTTTCCACATGTATTCTGAGACTGACATTTATTTAATATAAAAGAAGTACAGTATTATTATTATATATGATGATGATGATTATTATTATTATTTATTTTTATCTTTATCATTTTAATGATTATATTATTAATTATTATTTTATTATTATTTATTTCTGCATTTTAAGTAATATTTTTTCTAGGTAACTTTCAATAGATCATTATATTTTTCACTCCAGTCGGCTCAGGGCCGCCGTGGCAGTCGGCACAAAGCCGCCGCTCATGACACTCGGCTCGAAGCCGCCGTGTTGACTCGAGCAGCAGATCCTATTATTGGATTTGAATATATTAAATAATTGATGTCCTGCGTCGATCAGACCCCTATTGGTACAGCCTCAGATTTCTTGCAATGCAAATGGGTTAGCTGTAGCAAATCCTATTGGCAGGGCTATGATCTAGGATGATATAAGGATATGGGGGCCCCTTGTTTTCCTTAACCAATTATTATTAAATTTTAATGGTTGGCGCGATGTGCATCAATGTCGTGGACAGCTCTCAAGAAGTTGGTTGTCCCATCCGACACCCAGCGATTACGAGTTGGAATAAATCATTCCATTGCGGGCGGAAAGCGTGGCAGGTTTTGTCGGTGCTCCGTCTGCGCCGTCTGTTGCGTCTGTTCCGTCTTGCGCAGTCTTGCGCCGTCTTAGCTTGCCATCTGCACCGTCTTGCGAGATGGTGCAGATGGTGAGCGCAGCAATTAAAACAACCGCGCTATGCGACCGCAATGTTTCATTCCAACCAGCCAGAGTCCCTCTCTCCGCTGGTGTCTCTCGCCCGTACCTCCCGCCAGCGCCAAACAAGGAGACAGCAAGCAAGCAAGCAAGCAAGCAAGCAAGCACGCAGGCAGGCAGGCAAGCAAGCAGGCAGGCAGGCAGCAAGCAAGCAGCAAGTAGGCAGCAAGGAGCAGCAAGCAGCAAGCAAGCAGCAAGGAGCAGCAAGCAGCAAGCAAGCAGCAGGTAAGCAGCAGCAAGCAGCAGCAGCAAGCAGCAGCAAGTAGCAGCAAGCAGCAGGCAAGCAGCAAGCAAGCAGCAGGCAAGCAGCAAGCAAGCAGCAAGCAGGCAGCAGGCAAGCAGCAACCAGTGTTTGCCCCCTTGAAAGAATGATCAAATATACAGAGTTTTAAAGATCAACGTAATTTAACACAAAAATTGAACTTTTCCAGCCACACGGCCCCATAACCATGAAATCACCAAAATTGAACTTTTTCCAGGCACACGGCCTCCCGATACGACTTTTATGAGCTGATACGACTTAACGCTAGCATTGTTAATATTTAATATTTTCAGATATTTTTCGCTCCAGTCGGCTCAGGGCCGCCGTGGCAGTCGGCACAAAGCCGCCGTGGCAGTCGGCACAAAGCCGACGCTCATGACAGTCGGCTCGAAGCCGCCGTGTTGACTCGAGCGGTGCGAATGCCCTGGGCCAAATGATCCCGACCAAGACTTTTTCACTAATGGCTTGGGTCAGTCACATGAGCCATACCAATCGGCTGAAAGAACTCTAACAAGCGATTTTTTTCCACCAAGCTCGTCGTGTTGGCTGGCTATTCCTTAGCCAAGTTTCTAGGGGCAGCTACTGATACGCACTCATTGCTCAGTGGCAGCGGCCGCCACAGGCTCAGCAGCAGCAGTGGGTTCAGGCTGAGTGTCAGTCGTAGCAGCATCAGGGCCCACCATTCCAACCAACTCTTCTTGCACCTGAGATTGAGCTGCACGAGCTTTGTCAGACAATTTACGAAGGAATCGCATTGTCCTGCCCACGTCTTCGCGGCTCACGCTCATCTTCTCCAGCTGCCCAGGGTCTGAGTCAAACTTGTCATCCAAGTCATCGGCAATGCAAACGAGTTGGAGCGCCAATGCACCAATCTCAGCAAGTTCTCCGTAGAGCTTGACTTTTGCCATGGGTTCCATCGCTGCTGCGGCTGGTTGCACCTCAGCTTCTGCTGTTTTCTCAGCCATGGGCAGTGAGCAAAGCGGAGGGTTGGCATAAAGTTAGGTTTGGGCCAAAACTCAAAAACACAGCAACAAGTCGACTTCTGACATGTTCACGCATGGGATTCAAGGGAACCTCAGACTATATTTGCCAAAACTTTTCACACAGACATATCGCTGCGTCAATGGCTCACACTGCCCAGGTACCGCTTTCAAGCAAGCAGAAATCTAAGAGTCTAATGTCAAAAGGGAGCACTTTGGCTTGTCAGCCCAAAATGGGTCGACTCCCTCATGCGACCCAAAGCTGATCAGCTCAGTGCTCATGGGGCCATTGGCTCGACACAGAGCGGCCTTGACTCACCAGCACTCGGAGGATTTCTCGTCGCTGTCCTCTCCGTCCTGTTGCTCATCTTCCTGCTTGTTCTTCTTGGCCTTCTTGTTGGTCGTCTTTTTGACTTCGGTCTCCTCGTCCTTGGTCTCCTCGAGGTTCTCCTCGTTCTTGCGACGCTTCTTCTCCACAGGGTTTGGCTTTGCCGCGTTCTTGGTCCTCTTTTTGGACCCTGCTTCGTCGATCTTGTTCTCCTTCTTTGTCTCGTCTTCATCCTTGGCCACGGATTCAGGTCGATAAAAGGTGCTGCCTTCACGAGAGAGCTCACTAAGGATGTACTCCGTCAGAAGCAACTCCAGGCGGGATCCATGAACCTCCGTGCCGCAAATTGCGATGGCTTTGGTTCGCGAAGCTAAGGAGGCTTTGAGAAATTCACCTTGGCCCGGAGAAACATCTAGCACGCAAGTCGCACAGTAGCTGTGCAGCATTTCCTGGTAGAGCTCAGTAGGGCAAACGCAAGAACTGAAGACACTTTCTTCTGCCGACGGATCCTGATTCCCACCTTGGTCTTGGGTCAAAAGAATGGTGCGCTTCTGACCGAGGATCTCCACTTTCTCTTTCCTGCCATGGGTTACGCTTGTTGATTTGTTTTTTATGTTTAATTCATGAATGCAATCGCTAAACTGCAAAGAAGTGGTAAACTGAACAAGTTAACACACATAATCAATCCTGCTCATCTTCCACATCTGGCTGATGGGCATGGCAGTCACGAAGCCAATGATGTCTCCAGACGAAGTTCCACTGTAAATCTGGCGAGGCTTCTCAGGAAGAATTACTCCCAGGCCTTTGTCGGAGTAGAGGGTCAGTTCCAACCTCTGTGTGTAGGAGTGACCCCTCACTCTCTTCTTTCTGCCACGAATGCTTTCCTTCATGACACAGGGAATCGTGAAAAAATGATGACGAGAACACAAGGAATTAATTGAACATCATGACATGCAAGCCAAGCTAAAACCAGAGTCCTCGTTGAAGCACAACCAGACAGTCTGCGCAGTGCTGTCTTTCAGGAATCCCTTAGGCACCACATTCAGAGGATCGATGACAGCAGCCAGTACTCCTTCGCCAGGTGTGGTGCCCTTGCCGTTCTTGTCTTGTTGGGCTCCTAGGGCAGTCAAAGCAGAGCCAAGCAGCTTTTGGAGTAAGGCCTCGTCCGGTCGCCAATTCTTTCTCAAACCTTCTTGGCAAGAGGGGCCAGTGGTTTCACCCAGCAAGCTTGTATCCATGTGCACCAGGATGGCAGACTTTCCAACTTCGCCACTCGGCAGGTTGAGTTGCTCAATGCTGGAAACAACGCCTGCTGGAGTGCTGCCCTCCGTGAGGAAACTGCAATACATTCGGACTGTTTGGTTGGCAATGGCTCGCCAGTACTGGGGTGAGCCTTGTGGCAAGGTGTTGGGGGTCTTCCGAGCAAGCTGGAGCAAGTTGTCATGGCTGCCAGTGTCGGGGCCATCTTCTTCCTCTTCGCTTTTGCTTTCTTTCTGCAGCTGGACCTTCTCTTCTGCCAATTCGTTCTCTCGTGCGTTGGTGACTCGCTTCCAAGCTTCCTGGATATGCTCGCTTTCTTGCAGGATTTCCGGGTGCGAGTTGGGCTTCATGGCTTGGCGGATGACGTTGTCAAACTGCTTCAGGTACACCACGTCATGGACAAACTCCAAGGCTTCCAAGGATGACTTTGCCAAAGCCGATTGCCAGCTCAAGTTTTCAACTGTGTTTCTTCGGGCTGTAGGAGGGTCACACAGCCGTTCTTTGAGCAGCATCCGGTCAGAATCCTTCAGCTTGCCCTGGACAAACATGATGTCGAGGATGTACCTGAGGCAGCGCCATTTGAACTCGAACAAGTGAATGACACCCACATTGTTAGAGGAGCCAATCATTTGTTTCTTGCCCAGGTCGTCGTCTTGGATCACCCCGTGGCACAGCAGGTCGTCCATCAACTGAAAAATGAAGCGGCGGGCTGCGATGCAGCTCGGTCTTTGGGCTAACTTTTCCAGCTTCACCAGGCTGTTGAAAGGGCTGTCGGAACCTTTGAGAACTTCAAACTTGGTCACAATATCGGCAATGATCTTGTCAGAATGGAGCTTTGTATAAATGGTCTTGGCAGCCACAAAATTCCATTCGACGTAGTTGGAGACATCCGTGGCTGACTGCCCTGCGCCTTTCTGCGCAGTCATCAAATGCTTTGCTTTCAAGCCTTGAACCACTTCAGCTTCTGAAAGCTTGCGGTTCTCCAACTTCTCCAAGAGAGCCTCCCGCCATATGTTTTAATTTTTTTTTGTCAATGAGGCCAACTTTGGCTCAAAAAGGAAAAAATCAAAAATTGCAAGGGAAAGGTAGCCTGCAAATGGTAGAGCTCAGCAGCATTTTGCCAGGCGGTGCGCGTCAAGGACTCATGCTCCTGCGCCACCATTTGACGCTTGTTCAAAGCATGCACCCACACATCTGCTTCACTGCAAGCCGTCATCGTCACTGGCACTGCAGTCCTCGTCTCCGATGTTTTTTTAGAAGCTATAGCAGGGCAGGGGGACAAATAAAATTATAAGCCGAAAAAGGATCAGGAACAAAAGTATAAAGTAATTATGCAATAGTGCGACGAGAAGCAAAGCTTGTTTCCACGCTTCTCTGCAAGCAGCAGTGACGCTATCGCGACCCAGTTCCTCTGCAGCCTTCAGCACAATGGCGTGGATGATCTCCAAAGGAGAAATGACCACCAAGCCGCTTGGTTTTTCCGTGAGGGCCCCGACGTCCACCTGAACTTCCAGCAGCTTTTGAAAGTTGTTGTTGCGGTCATCCGGGAAGTAGAACTTTGCAAGGCCTGCAATGCGGTCACGCGACAAAGGGACGCCAGGAGCCGGATTTTTCCACATGTCCAGCCAGTAAAGGTTGCAACTGGAAATGTAAGTTCCATGTGCCTCCAATGCAACCTTCGCCTTCTGCAAGTCGAAGCTGTCCTGCAGTCATTGGTCTCCAGAACACGAATAGTTTAATCATTTTATTGAAACTCAGGTCCTGGATTCCAGTCTTGTCATGCACAGTCGCAGCAATGGGCGTTGGCAAGATTTCCTTCAGGTCGTTGCCGAGAATCTTCGAAATCACAGCTAAGTCCTGCTTGACTTGCTCATAGTAGTCACCATTGCAAGCAGACGTGTCCGCAGGAGCAGGAAATGCAGCACCTGACGACCTAGCTCCGCTTCCAGCGCCTGGTTTGGCAGCGTCTTTGGCATTCGCTTTGGCTGCTTTGGCTTTGTTCTTGGCACCAGCTGCGCTTTGCTTTTGTAAACTGGCATCGTGTTTGGACTGCTGCACCAAGCGAACCAACCTTTTGCGTTCATCATCCTTCAGCCTAATTTTTTCTTCATCGCTAATATCTGTGGCCAAGTTTGCCTCCCAAGTGGCGAGGTCTTGTTCCACGCTGTTTTGCTCAGCCTTGTTCAATTTCCACGCGGAAGGGTGCTTCGTGGGCGCCATTGCTTCCGTGCAAACCGTGGACAGCACACAAATCCTTTTGAGGCTAAAAGTGGAACAGCAGGGGCGCAAGAGATTGCAAACATTGTTTCTGACAAAAAGTAATTTTCAACTGTGGTTGAACAGGTTTCAAGAACAACAGCACGCACGAGCCCGTTGGTTTTCCAGCCGGCTTTGTTAGCGACGATTGTGGTAAAGTTTGTTTGCCAAGAGCCCAAGCTCATCTGTTGATGTGGAGGACCAAGGGTCTGAGCGCTTCAACGATGATGGCCACAATCCAGCAGCAGGAAGGGCACGTAGCAGGATGCGCATGAGCACATTGACGCTCATACTGTCGCCTAAGGCGCCCATGACTTGTTTTTCAGCAGCCTGTGCATCTGCACTTTTTCCTTTCTTCACGAGAAAGCCCTGAAGGTCTTCCACTAAGCGTCCAGGTACTCCTTGAAGGCGTCCACACTCGATGCTGCTCAAGCGTCGCAACTGCTTTGGCAAGTAGTAGCCTTTGGAAAGACAACGTGTGCGAATCAAGCACGGACAGTGCTCAGAGTGTTTGCTTTGCCAACCTGCACTGGCACCAACGTCTAAGACTAAATTTTCCTGCCAAATTTTGCTTCCATACTTTGATTCGTATGTAGGCAAAGGCAGCTTCTCATTTCCTTTGACTTCACTGTCCAAAAATGACACGAGGCGAGGGCATTTCAGAGGCTTCGGAAACTTGAAGGACACTTTCTGCCTTTGGTCGCAACGAAAGGCAACCAAATAACAGCGGCTTCGACTTTGAGGAATTCCATGCTCTTTGGTAGAAAGCTTCTTGACGTAGACCTTGTACCCAAGCGCTGCAAAGCACTTCTTCATCACTTTGTGTGTCCGGGCATGGCGCTTGTTCAAAAAGGCAGAGACATTTTCTAAGATGACCAGTGCAGGTTTCCGATAGACTATGTACTTCAAGCCTTCAAAGATAAGCAACCCTCGCTTCTGCCCATCCTTTGCTCCAAGCTTCCGACCACAGCTGCTGTAGGCAGGGCAAGGAAAACCTGCGATGTACACATCGCTGGATTTGGTTTCAGTCAAAGATCTGTCAAAAATGTCCTGCTCCACCAACTTCTTCTCAGTCTTCAAGTCAAAAGCTTTATGCACAGCTTGCATCATGCTACGCTTCGCAGAATCGTTTTCGCTTCCACCAACGAATTCCATGTGCTCGGATGTCAAACCAAGCAGAGACAAAGCAATCGTCTCCGAAGAAAGTCCTGCACAGTCGGCAAAGATACGAATTTTTCCAGCTGGCATCTTTGGAGAGCCACGCTTGGATTTGTGCAGCTTCACGAAGGCTCGTAGATTGTCTATATGCTCCTCGACGACATAACTTGGAAGTTCAGGCGTCTTCCGCTTTGTCGCTTTCATTCTCAGCTGTTGTCTTTGGCTTTTGGCAGCCGCGGAGGACATGGCCACGAACACAAAACGATGTTGATCTGTTTGTTCTAGTTAAAATGGATCATATGTCAACACAAAACGATGTTGATCTGTTTGTTCACACATTAATATAATTTATCATATGTCAACACAAAAACGATGTTGATCTGTTTGTTCACACATATAATAATATAATTATCATATTTGAGTGAATTTCTTGAACATGAAAGTAATGAGGCTGAAATAAATGTGAAAGCAGCAAATGCTTAAAGCGACTTTATCATTTACAATGCTGAAGGTGGGCCGAAAGAGGCTTTGGCCGATTGATTTTTTCGGAGTTGGGATCCCCGAAATTTCGCCGAGAGGGGGCTAGCAAATTGCTAGTCCCCTCTCACACACCCAGACCGGCCCGGAGCCGTGAGAGAGGGCTAGCATTTCGTTGAGAACCAGCTAGCAAAAGCAATTTCCCTGCTCCTCTCGCAAAACGCTAGCCCCCTCTCACACACCCAGACCGGCCCGGAGCCGTGAGAGGGGGCTAGCAAATTGCTAGCCCCCTCTCGACAGTCCAGACCGGCCCGGGTCCGCGAGAGACAGCATCGTTTTCCCAGAATCTGTTCAGTCTCTTTTTTTTGATCTGATGCTTCCTTTCTCCAAATGTTTCAAGTAGCTTTGCTACCTTCTCAGAACAACCCCTGATTCAAAGGACAGCAACCAAAAAACTTTTGTCTTTGGCTTCACACTTGTCTGTCAAGTGCTTCACAAACCCCGATTTCTGCAGAGTCAGGAAAGACTTCTTTTGTAGGCTTTTAGCTTCCGGATCATCCTCGGCAACCAACGATATGGACCTGTTCTTGTCCAGCCTCTCCACTTTGAGTCTACGCCAGCCAGTGGTCTGCACAACCCAAGACAGGACCTTCATGAAAGCCGTATGCTTCGCTTGAAATGCAGCGGAGCAATGAATACCAACGTGAAATTCTCGAAGTCGGTTGAAAGCAGCCTTCTGGTACTGCAGTTTGAAGCCTTGTCTCCCTTCCAGCACTGCTTTCGATAGCACACAGCCACCACAAGCAACGGCAAGCAAGTAGATCTTCTCTGAAACGACTTCGGAAGAAGCAATGAAAACATCAGCCAAGCGTGGATCCTGCAAGTCTAAGATTAAATACGACGATGAAAAGAAGCAAAGATGTGCTTAAACAAATAATCTAAGCCGAGCATCTGAGACATATACCAAAGGAAGCAGCAAGGGTCGAAGTCCGGCTTCCTCGCAGTAAGTCTTTCTGGCACCCAAGGATTTGAAATTCCATTGCTGTGCGAAGCATTTGTTTTGCAATTCTACTTTGTGCTTCGCCATCATTTGAATGCGCTTGTTGTCCTTGGCATCACATGTGGCCTTTTTCTTCAAGACCTCGGAAAAAGGGTGCTGACCGGCATCGCTCGTCAGTAAGTAGCCGTTCTCGGCAGCTTCCACTGCTCTGTCCAAACGACGTTTATTCTGCAGCTTGAGCTCTTTCATTCCTTTGGCAGACAGTTGCAAATCTTCAGCGGAGGGAGGTCTGGAAGATGACGAGGATGTCACAGATTTCTGAATGGCCTTCTGTACAGAAGCTTTCTTTTTTTCCAAAAAAGTATGTTCGGACTTCGGATTCTTTTTCTTTTTGGTGCCTTTGTCAAACCGGGGCTTTGCTTGTCGTCCTTTGTGCCTCTTCACTGCTGCTGCATAGAGTTGGCGAGCTCCTTCGATGATGTCTTTCTGACTTTCCTTCCCACTCATTGTCAGCACGCTGATGCTCCGACGTTCAGTGTCGGCGGCTTTGGGACCGAAGCGACCTGTGTGATAGCAACGGTCAGCTTTGGAAAAGCTCTGCTCCACTCCAGACCTTGACGGCAATACCCACCAAAATGAAATTAAAGAATGCCATAATTTTATGAGTGCTGCCAAGGGACGAAGAAGGAGTCCAACAAGCATAAGCTCGCAAAGTCTTTGGAAGATGCTTCAAGGCATACTTCTTTCGTGCATGCGCATTCTTCTGCGTGTGGTCATAGGCAGCTTTCCAAGCCTCTCTGTTGTCTAGCTGAGAAAGTCTTTTTTGAGCTTCTGCTATGGGCCGCAGAGATTCCCATTCATAACGAAGACCAGCTGGATCAACATCCAAAGCAAGCGCGATTCGTCGCAAGCAAGCAGAGGTCTCTTTTGGTGCCGGTTTCGTCGTAGGTCTGTCGCTCAAGTTGAAGACAAGCATCGCATTGAGGACTTCAAAGTGAGGAAATTCAGCTCGCACCGTGGCTTCGCAAAGGCGGACCCAAGGCTGAAAGTCTTGCAGCGCTTTGTCTTTCACCGCCGCACTGACTCGTAGTTGGCGTCCTTGGCCCCCACTCAAAGCAAATAATGTTCCCGACTCCAAAACTTCCACCATATGTTTGGAATACCCGCTGATCTCCCAGGCCTTGCCGTGAAGGAATTGTACATGGATTTCATCCAAGAAATGGCCGATCTCTTGATTCAAAAGGGCAGGGTCGCACGACTCATTGTCTAGAAAGCGTGTAAGCTGCAGCAGCGAATCGGCTGCGTCTGCCCCAAGGGCCAAGAGCAAAGACGATGAGGCGAAATATCGCGCAACCATTTCCGTGCCCAGTGTGCATCCTCCCTGGTCGAAGAAATTCTATGTAGAACTCGAAAGAAGCTGTGCACATTTCGCAGCATGCGTCCCATTGGCTTCGCAAAGCTTGCAAAGCGATGTTTCGCCGCGGAGAGGCTTGCTGCTCTTGGACCGTCTCCTTCTTGATGCACATAGTCTTCAAACCATCGGCTGAAATGCTGCGAATTGAAGATTTTTTGTACTGGAGAGTCAGAGTGCCGAATGGTGCAATCGAAGGTCTCCTGCGAAAAGAGATGGACGCATGCTGCAATGCAAAAAAAATAGCCGCACAATTATCATTTAAAAATTCAAAAGTCTCCTGCAGAACGGCAATGCAAGACCACGGTCTCATGAGGTTTTGAAACTGTAGTGGACTTCTTCTGCACCTTGTGCCTTTTGCTTACCATCCGAGGCGGAGGCATGCTCACTCCTTTTACCATCATTGCCTCAGTCCTGTGAGCCATCAAACCTGCAGAAGTGTCGCAATGGAAGGCCGGACCTAACTTAGAACAACTTGTTCAACGTTTAAACAGGTTGACAACCAGGGACCAGTCGCCGATGCTTCCAACACAGTGGACCACGGACGGCACGAAGCCGCCGTGGCGGCTTCGAAAAAAGACACCCTTAAACTGCTTAGAGCCCTTGACGACGAAGACAAACCATTCCATCACCAAAGTGAACACTGACACATTCAAACTCCTACACAGGAACAGCACCGCTCGGTCTCTTTTCAACAAGCACCACAACGCAGAGAGTCGCCGCATTAATGCGAGGAACTTGTCGACGACGGTGTCAATGGAGCGGCCTGCCGCCGTGAACACAGTCGGCAAGAGGCCGCCGTGAACACAGTCGGCACAAGAGACCGCCGCGAACACAGTCGGCTGGCTGCCGCCGTGAACACAGTCGGCATGAATCCGCCGTGAACGCACACAGTTGGATGGAAGCCGCCGTGAACACAGTCGGCTGGTTGCCGCCGTGAACACGGTCGGCCAGAGGCCGCCGTGAACACAGTCGGCACAAGAGGCCGCCGCGATCACAGTCGGCTGGTTGCCGCCGTGAACACAGTCGGCCAGACGCCGCCGTGAACACAGTCGGCACAAGAGGCCGCCGCGAACACAGTCGGCTGGTTGCCGCCGTGAACACGGTCGGCCAGAGGCCGCCGTGAACACAGTCGGCACAAGAGGCCGCCGCGAACACAGTCGGCGGCCGCCGTGAACACAGTCGGCAAGAGGCCGCCGTGAACACAGTCGGCACAAGAGGCCGCCGCGAACACAGTCGGCGGCCGCCGTGAACACAGTCGGCAAGAGGCCGCCGTGAAGACGTGAAGACAGTCGGCCGGCACAAGCCCGCCGTTGACACAGTCGGGCCGACCACCAGTCAGATGACCCGGCACAGATGACTGAAATTATTATTATTTATTGAAAATGTTCTCATATAGTAAACAAGTAAACTGTATGTAAAATGTTAGTCTCAGAATACATGTTGAAATAATTAATAATAATAATAATTTAATAATAATAATAACAATATAGTGGGCGCCTAGCAGTTAGAATTCGTAAAACATGGTGACAAGCACTTAGAATTGCGCCTTAGTGATACTTAAATCATGCACTTAGAATTGCCCACAGTGATACCCAAGTCATGCACTTAGAATTGTATCAACCTTTGGTGGCCCCAAATCATCCATTTTTGAAGGATTTTCCACTGAAAATCATCCATTTTGATGGATTCCCCCTGGCTCAGTGCTTCGCTCCTCATCTGTTTTTCCCGCCAATTGTGAAGTCTTTCATCGTCTTAATCTAGATCTTAATCGGTGAATTCAAACAAAGCTGCCCAAATCCACTCTAAACATACAACACACACACATACAACATGAACATATACAACACACACACATATATATATATATATTGATATATATGTATATCAAAACAATTCTAACTGTCAAAAAATTCTATCTGTCTTAAAATGTAAACAATTCTATGGTCCCTGCGTTTCTAGCAGTTAGAATTTCGCTACTTTAGTCATGCAAAATCCGCTGAAAAAAATTCTATCTGCTAGGGGCCTACTGTAATAATAATAATAATAATCAGTATGGATCACTAGGAAACAGCATGCCTCATCATTGAACTGAATGTCAGAATACATAAAATCAGAATGGATTTAATCCGGAAGTGGTGACACTTGCCACCAATGTTATCAGAAGTTAAAAGGATCTGATTTATCTTCGCTTGTGCCAACTGACTGTCAACCAAAAAGGGCCCCAGGGCCCCAGGGCCCTGGAACAACATCAGCAAGTGTAGGTTCAGAAAGCAACGTTAGGCAGTGGGAGCCGTTGCCCGGAGGCTCGGTCCGTCCTTCAGGGCCCTGCTGTTTTGCTGTGGCGGAGGCGCCGTTTGTGAGCCTTGACGGCTGGAAGAGAGCTAGTTTTCTTGTAGGTTCAGAAAGCAACGTTAGGCAGTGGGAGCCGTTGCCCGGAGGCTCGGTCCGTCCTTCAGGGCCCTGCTGTTTGGGCGTGGCGGAGGCGCCGGTTGTGAGCCTTGACGGCTGGAAGAGAGCTAGTTTGGGAGCCGTTGCCCGGAGGCTCGGTCCGTCCTTCAGGGCCCTGCTGTTTTGCTGTGGCGAGGGCGCCGTTTGTGAGCCTTGACGGCTGGAAGAGAGCTAGTTTTCTTGTAGCTTCAGAAAGCAACGTTAGTAACGTTAAGCAGTGGGAGCCGTTGCCCGGAAGCTCGGTCCGTCCTTCAGGGCCCTGCTGTTTTGCTGTGGCGAGGGCGCCGTTTGTGAGCCTTGACGGCTGGAAGAGAGCTAGTTTTCTTGTAGGTTCAGAAAGCAACGTTAGGCAGTGGGCGCCGTTGCCCGGAGGCTCGGTCCGTCCTTCAGGGCCCTGCTGTTTTGCTCAATGGGAGATATGCCCAGGGGTCGGCGGCAGGGGGCGGAGCCCTTTAATATGGTAATTTCAATGGTAAAATCTATGGTAAAATCATCTAAAATGTCACATGATTCAATGGTAAAATATGGTAATTTCAATGGTAAAATCTATGGTAAAATCATCTAAAATGTCACATGATTCAATGGTAAATTATGGTAATTTCAATGGTAAAATCTATGGTAAAATCATCTAAAATGTCACATGATTCAATGGTAAAATATGGTAATTTCAATGGTAAAATCTATGGTAAAATTCATCTAAAATTCACATAATTCAATGGTAACATATGTAATTTCAATGGTAACAATCTAATGCGTAAAATCATCTAAATGTCAGGATTCAATGGTAAAATCATTGGTAATTTCAATGGTAAAAATCTTGTAAAAATCATCTAAAATGTCACATGCATTCAATGGTAAAATATGGTAATTTCAATGGTAAAATCTATGGTAAAATCATCTAAAATGTCACATGATTCAATGGTAAAATATGGTAATTTCAATGGTAAAATCTATGGTAAAATCATCTAAAATGTCACATGATTCAATGGTAAAATATGGTAATTTCAATGGTAAAATCTATGGTAAAATCATCTAAAATGTCACATGATTCAATGGTAAAATATGGTAATTTCAATGGTAAAATCTATGGTAAAATCATCTAAAATGTCACATGATTCAATGGTAAAATATCGTAATTTCAATGGTAAAATCTATGGTAAAATCATCTGAAATGTCACATGATTCAATGGTAAAATATCGTAATTTCAATGGTAAAATCTATGGTAAAATCATCTGAAATGTCACATGATTCAATGGTAAAATATGGTAATTTCAATGGTAAAATCTATGGTAAAATCATCTAAAATGTCACATGATTCAATGGTAAAATATGGTAATTTCAATGGTAAAATCTATGGTAAAATCATCTAAAATGTCACATGATTCAATGGTAAAATATGGTAAATTCAATGGTAAAATCTATGGTAAAATCATCTAAAATGTCACATGATTCAATGGTAAAATATGGTAATTTCAATGGTAAAATCTATGGTAAAATCATCTAAAATGTCCACATGATTCAATGGTAAAATATTGTAAGTTCATGGCAAAATCTATGGTAAAAATCATCTAAACTGTCACATGATTCAATGGTAAATATGGTAATTTCAATATGGTAAAATCTATGGTAAACAATCCTCTAAAATGTCCATGTTCAATGTTAACATATGGTATTTCAATGGTTAAATCTATGGTAAAATCATCTAAATGTCTTGCCGCCTCAACATATTCAATGGTAAAATATGGTATTCATCAATGGTAAAATCTATGGGTAAAATCATCTAAAATGTCACATGATTCAATGGTAAAATATGGTAAATTCAATGGTAAAATCTATGGTAAAATCATCTAAAATGTCACATGATTCAATGGTAAAATATGGTAATTTCAATGGTAAAATCTATGGTAAAATCATCTAAAATGTCACATGATTCAATGGTAAAATATGGTAATTTCAATGGTAAAATCTATGGTAAAATCATCTAAAATGTCACATGATTCAATGGTAAAATATGGTAATTTCAATGGTAAAATCTATGGTAAAATCATCTAAAATGTCACATGATTCAATGGTAAAATATGGTAATTTCAATGGTAAAATCTATGGTAAAATCATCTAAAATGTCACATGATTCAATGGTAAAATATGGTAATTTCAATGGTAAAATCTATGGTAAAATCATCTAAAATGTCACACGATTCAATGGTAAAATATGGTAATTTCAATGGTAAAATCTATGGTAAAATCATCTAAAATGTCACATGATTCAATGGTAAAATATGGTAATTTCAATGGTAAAATCTATGGTAAAATCATCTAAAATGTCACATGATTCAATGGTAAAATATGGTAATTTCAATGGTAAAATCTATGGTAAAATCATCTAAAATGTCACATGATTCAATGGTAAAATATGGTAATTTCAATGGTAAAATCTATGGTAAAATCATCTAAAATGTCACACGATTTCAATGTAAAATATGTAATTTCAATGGTAAAGCTATGGTAAAATCACCTTGTCACATGATTTAATGGTAAAATATGGTAATTCAATGGTAAAATCTTGGTAAAATCATCTAAATGTCACATGATCTCAATGGTAAATATGGTCATTTCAATGGTAAAATCTATGGTAAAATCATCTAAAATGTCACACGATTCAATGGTAAAATATGGTAATTTCAATGGTAAAATCTATGGTAAAATCATCTAAATGGTCACAAATTCATGGTAAAATATGGTAATTTCAATGGTAAAATCTATGGTAAAATCATCTAAAATGTCACATGATTCAATGGTAAAATATGGTAATTTCAATGGTAAAATCTATGGTAAAATCATCTAAAATGTCACATGATTCAATGGTAAAATATGGTAATTTCAATGGTAAAATCTATGGTAAAATCATCTAAAATGTCACATGATTCAATGGTAAAATATGGTAATTTCAATGGTAAAATCTATGGTAAAATCATCTAAAATGTCACATGATTCAATGGTAAAATATGGTAATTTCAATGGTAAAATCTATGGTAAAATCATCTAAAATGTCACATGATTCAATGGTAAAATATGGTAATTTCAATGGTAAAATCTATGGTAAAATCATCTAAAATGTCACATGATTCAATGGTAAAATATGGTAATTTCAATGGTAAAATCTATGGTAAAATCATCTAAAATGTCACATGATTCAATGGTAAAATATGGTAATTTCAATGGTAAAATCTATGGTAAAATCATCTAAAATGTCACATGATTCAATGGTAAAATATGGTAATTTCAATGGTAAAATCTATGGTAAAATCATCTAAAATGTCACATGATTCAATGGTAAAATATGGTAATTTCAATGGTAAAATCTATGGTAAAATCATCTAAAATGTCACATGATTCAATGGTAAAATATGGTAATTTCAATGGTAAAATCTATGGTAAAATCATCTAAAATGTCACATGATTCAATGGTAAAATATGGTAATTTCAATGGTAAAATCTATGGTAAAATCATCTAAAATGTCACATGATTCAATGGTAAAATATGGTAATTTCAATGGTAAAATCTATGGTAAAATCATCTAAAATGTCACATGATTCAATGGTAAAATATGGTAATTTCAATGGTAAAATCTATGGTAAAATCATCTAAAATGTCACATGATTCAATGGTAAAATATGGTAATTTCAATGGTAAAATCTATGGTAAAATCATCTAAAATGTCACATGATTCAATGGTAAAATATGGTAATTTCAATGGTAAAATCTATGGTAAAATCATCTAAAATGTCACATGATGATAGAATGCTGGTAGCACATGATCACATGAGTATCACATGATTATCACATGAGTATCACAATTTATCAATGGTAAAATCTATGGTAAAATGATCCCATGAGCAAAGCCACTCCAAAGATCTGCAGAGACATGGTGCAAGGTCCAGTGGAGAATCCAGGCCTGGGTTTGGGGCGATGGAGGGCTGGAGCACATAAAAAGGGCACATGATTTTCCTATAAAATATTGGAAAATCACCATTTTGAATGGGTAAATCCTATGGAAAATCACCAAAATCACCATTTTGAATGGGTAAATCATGGATTTCCTATGGGAAATCACCAAAATCACCATTTTGAATGGGTAAATCAACTATAAAAATCAACTATAATGGCCCTAAAAAGCAATGCATCAAGCCCATCAAGCCCATCAAGCAATGCAGAAATGGCATAAATCAAACACGCAACGCAACGTAGGCCAAGACGAGTCAATTGTTACTCTCTTTGATACTCTCCACTCTCCACACTCATCGTGTAAATGGATATGAAATGGATATGAACACGTCATGAAACACCATTGATGGATACCATTGATGGATACCATGATGGATAGCAACGTCACACCCGCTGCGACATGCGACCCAGCTACCGAGGTGGACTCCTCAATGAGCCGCACACGACACAAAGGTCCCTTTTGCAAATCGAAGGTTTCGTACTGTTTCTGCAGAAGCCACTCAGCTAACTCCGCTGGCTGTGGAGTGGTGCTGAAATCCAGGCAGGGATCATCAGAAACATGACATTGACCTTCCTTCAAGGTGGTGCGAAGGGCATCATGTCGCATCTGGACGGCTGTGAAGGCTTGTTGTAGGCAATCCACATCCAAAGGACCGCGCACGTGACAACAAAAGGTCAAATTCAGAGCGGAAGATGCTTTGGCACTGAGTGAAGCCATCCTTTCCAGTGACAGTTGCTGATAACTTGCCGGATAGCACTGACATTCTTCAGATGCCAACTTTCCATCAGCTTCCTCAATCAGTTCATCTTTTGGATCCTTTGGATCCTTTGGATCCTTCGATTCATACTCGGCCAGTCTTGCCGCCAGCTGCTGTACAGTTGCCGCGGCATAGACGTCTGTGATGCACGCCTGTGGGATCTTCACTTCCCGGCGAATTCGGTTCACCAATTGCCCCACCGACAAGGAATGACCACCCAGGGCGAAGAAGGAGACACCAATCGGAACCTCAACGACTGAATACGACTGAGATTCATCGATTCATCAAACAATTCATCAGAAAGGATCAAGATATGTCAGGATTATGGGACTATGCCAACAGTGCAGCAACAGTGTGCCAATGTGTGCCAGGAAAGTGTGAAGCAGCATGAACAAGAAATATCCGCTGATCGATCGATCCACTTCTCTCTTGATACTAGGACTGCAACCCTTGCATTGATTCTACCCCAATAGCTCTCTGGAAGTTGTCAAAGTTGGGGTCCGCCAAGTGCAAACCCAGGCACCTCTGCAACGGGTCTCTTCAGTACAGCGGCGAACGCAGCCCTCAACTCGCCCTGCCAGCAGAGAACTCTGGCGACATATTTCAACTGTGCCAGTTGCGCCAGTTGGTCATTTCACTCTAGTGCCTTGAAATTCGTGAACATGCTGGACAGTTTCAATAGTTACTAATAGTTACAATAGTTACAATAGTCAAGAGATAACACATGATTAAACTGACTTGGGGATGTTCAGTGTTGCCCCTGTTTAGACACGTGTGTATTTGTGAAAACAGTGAAAAGCCACAACGAATTGCTGCCTCCAAGCGTCCCAAAGTTGATCCTGGATCCGCTGGTTCTGCCACCTTCCAGCATCTGATCATCCAGTTTGTCGCAGGATGATTTAACCAATCAATTTCATGAGCAGTTAGGATGATCATCCATTTCCATAAAACAAATCCAATGGTTGGTGAACATTTAACCAGTCGATTTCCATTCATTTCCAATGTTCATCCATATTTTTCATCTATTTTCCAGCAAGTTACCCTCTGGTAAACATACAGTTTGCTATTGAAAATGGCCCAGTCGAAATAGTGTATTTTCCCATGAAAAATGGTGGATCTTTCCATAGCTATGTTAAATTACCAGAGGTTATATCCCATTAAATCCCATTAAATCCCATTAAACCACCATTTTCCTATGGTTTTCCTATGGTTTCACCCATGTGTCACCCCATTTTTCATCCCCACCTCCACCTCCACCGCCAAGGCGGCCAAGGGCTCCGGAAGGCGGCGCCGGTCCACCTTGCCGTTGGCGTTCAACGGCAGCGCCGCCAAGCGCAGCAAGGCCTGGGATCCAGGGATCAATGATGATCAATGGCCATCCATTGATTTGATGGATTGGTTTAAGGGAAAATCTACAGGAAACCATAGATTTTCCCATAAAATATGGGGCTTAAACCAGTAAATTTTCCCTTAAACCAATCCATTGATTGATTTGATGTTTGATCATATATATGGATCTTATGGATCCCATCAACTGAATATAATTGATATATTTTTTGATTAACTCATCATCCATATAACTGGATTAACTCCATATAACTGGATACTGATGAACTAATCGATGAGTTAATCCAGTTATATGGATTTTAATGGATCCTGGATATGGATCATAATTATATGGATTTGATGGATCATATTATATGTGGATCATGTGTGGATCATTTGGTTCCGATTCACCATTAATCACAGGTCTTGTTTTCTCAGCTTCATTGGAAGACACCAGGTCCTGTGCAAAACCGTCACCGCCATTTCTGGGTTTCCTGGGTTTCCTGACCGCTGGCACCATGTAGTGAGGCAACTCCGATCGGAGCCACTCCAACAGCTTTTCCGAGAGATCGCCTCAGACTTCATCCATGGCCATCCATGGCCATACCCCGAAAAAGTTGGATGATGATCATTGAAACGTCATTGAAATGTCATAAAAATGATTCTTGATTTACAATTAATTGATCATAGATGATCTGATTTGGATCATAAAATACTACAAAAAAAAATTAAGAAATAGATGATGATTGATCATCCCATTGTTTTCTATGAATGTGGATCATTTATGATGATCTATGATCATCATCCCATTTTGTCATCTCCCCAAAGAAGGGATGTTTTGGGTGCCGGACCTCCATCGGGACTTCTGGGAGTCCAGTAGGCAGCCAGGTACTTGTCGTGGCTCCCCGAAAAAGTACGGCATTGGACCACGCACTCCCGGACGGCCTGGTCGTAACATGCCAGAAACTCAGAACATCTCAGAACTTGGAAATTTCAACCAAAAAAAGTGATATCTCTGTTGGAAGAAAATCATCAGAACATCTCAGAACATAGTTGGATCTTTTATGAAATCTGAATATATCGAGACATCTTTTCGATATTTTTCGATTCCTTTGATCGCAGGTGAAACTTGAGACCTGCGAAGCCCGCGACAACTTTCCCATCCTCGTGGCTCAGGAGCTTCGTTTCGATCTCGCCCAGTTCGATACGCTGACCCCGGATCTTGACCTACCGGGTAACCATGGCAGATGGGAACAAAGTGGAAATGTGTTGGGAAAACCATGGAAAACCCCATGGAAAATTCACATGCCAGGTCTGTTTCCCAGGTCTGTGGTCTCACTTCATTTTGGGTTTTTGGGAATCTGGCTCTGAAAAATCCTCAAAGGTCACACGTAGTCTTGTCAAACTATGTTCTCAAGTTCTTTTGTCTTGGTTTCAGCATCATAAAAACATATAAAAACATATTTTCACACCTGATCTGCAACAACTTTCAGGAAAACCATGAAAAACCATGAACAACCGTGAAAAACCATGAAAAACCTATCCTGTTCTGCATCAAATTCTCCAGTCATCGATGTCACATGTCGCCTGCGAGTCAATGCGCCCCAAGAAATCGATGGCTCCACTGGGAGTCCATCGCACCAGATCTCCGGTGCGATACAAACGAGGAGCTGCACCTGGGTTCAACGGCCCGAGGCAACGATGCTGTGGGGCTCGGCTAAGAAAATAATTAAACATTGGTATACTATGCTCCAACTATTCCAACTATACCAACCATCTGTGGTAATCAGTTAGCGTATTATAATCCAACTAACCATCCTACTAATGTATTATAATGTGGTATATCAATGTATATCATCTTTTACCAAACTTTGGGTCATTTTTTGGGGCTCACTGTTCTGGTAAACGTAAACAGTCCATACATGAATCATTGGATTGGTTTAAGGGAAAATTTACAGGAAACCATGGTTTTTACCATCAAATATAGGGCTTTCCTGTAAATTTTCCCATCATCCAATTCTATGAATGAAGCATCTCTCCTATTCAGCCCATTCAATTCGATTTCGATCAAGAAACTGTGCTTCACGGTGGTTGACTCGAGCGTCTGCGATGCCCAGGACGGACCATCCTGTCAATCGTGGATCCATGGCTTTGGGCTCCTCGAAATTGTCATGGTTGATCACTATTGATCACCAGTATTGATCATCATCAATCAATATCATCATTTTCCGTATTTCCCCATGAAAATCCACCATTTCGGAGGGTTCTATGGGTTGACTACTGTCAGATCTTTTCCAACACATCCAGATGTCCAGCCTCTGGGCCCTCACGGCCAGTCCAGTAAGGCCCACTGGGCCATAGACTGGGACCCTCGGGACCATCCTGGTGGGAAATCTGCATCCCCGACACCGCTGAAAAGCCTCAATGTTGACGATCATCCCAAATAGTGTTGAAACAACAAATGTTTGAAACCACCAGCCAGATATATGAATTCATGTGAATTCATATATTAGACGAGGACTTAGAAGATATCATTTTGAGATGCCAGTGACATTTCTTTGCCACTATTTGATCTATTTGCCACTCCAGGGTCCTGGTTGGCATCCACAAAAGGATTTGGCCTCAGAGATATCACAGCAAAGCAGCACGCTACAGCTGAGATCAGCTGAGAGCCACACACGAAACGTTCAGCTGTCAGTTCTGGTCGTTGTAAATATCCAGCGCCAACCTGTCACTGCTGTGTCACTTTCATGGAATCGTTTCAATGCTGTTCCCAGGAAATACAACAACTCGCTCGTCGTAATTGCACATTTTAAAATGTTCAAATGTTGTTTTTCCAACTTGAAAACCATATATTAACCATGGTATTAACCACATATTAATCCAAAAATGCAATATTTGCGATGGACTATTCCTTGCCCAAGTTCCGGCAAGTCACCTGGGCTCCTCCAATGTAGAGCTCCCCAAAAATGCCACACCTTTGCCCAAAACATGTCCATCTCTCAGCATATTCAGCAATCCGCAACAACATTGAGCAAAACACGATGGATCCGTTGAAAACTCTGTGATTCCGCACGGCTGTGGCTGCATCTGGGCATCCTTAGCAGAAAACCATGCAGATCCCCAAGGCGGCCGTGTCAATTCGTCAAAGCAAGGCGCTTTTAATGGTTTCTCAAACGAATTCTCCCGTTTCTTTCCATATCTTTCCATATCATGAAAATATTCATTTCTCATTCCACTTTCCAACAATCTTCAAAATGCTTGGTGACTTCTCGGCGTTCCCTTTGTTGCGAGGAACTAAAACATAGAGCTGCATTCCCACCACCGGCTCTCCAATGAAAGGAACTCCATCACCAGGCTTTACCAAGCACCTGGGCATCAAAAACAAATCAAAAACTGCAGTTCTACCAGCGTTTCTGCATTGAGGCTGCTGCATGGTCACATTCACGGTGCATTCTGTTGGACCTGAATGCCAATGAAATGCCAACAAGAAGGATCAAGAAGGCATCGCCTATGCCATGTTTCATTCATATTCAGAAATTCAACGAAAATACAATTGAATAGGTTTGATTTTGCCTTCTTTCTTTTGCACATTTCTTTTGTCTATGTTGATATCTGTTCACTGCCGTTTTACAGCAAAGTTCTCATCATTTCTCATCTCACGGATCTTGCCAGCAATGGCCAGCAACCTTTCTACCTCAACAAACAGCATCTTTTCCCATCCACATCACAGCCGACTTTCCAGCCGGGTTGCCATAGATATTCACCAGCTGAAAGGGCGCATGTTCTGGCGGTCTCAGGTGTAACTTATCACCTCCGGTGAAGAGAACTCGCAACCTGGCCGTGTGATGATGTCAGGAAAGAACCAGGAACAACCAATAACTAATGTTCATGCTTTAGTTAATGGTTGTGAATGGTCGTGAAATGTTAATCATCGTCTTCATGATGGACATGATTCTGACATCATCATGAAATCGTGAAGCGTGTTGATTGCGAGTCCACCTATGTGGGAAAAAGAGATGAGAAAATGAAGGTCCGAAGGTGAGAACAGACTTGGAAAGCAGTAACTCAGTATCAATTGATGCGTACCGTCAACTGCTTAGCAAACATATGTGCTGTGGTTAAAACGTGCTATATCTGAATATATCTGATAATCGATCCCACAATATCCACAATGGGAATCCTTACAACGGGTACAATGGTATCCCTATGAATGGATTGATGACCATTCCCCAATATGGCCAATTTACCCATGTCTTGACCCATGGCTGATATGACTCTTGGGAACAGTATATCCATGGTAAACCATCCATCTTGCCATATTCCGTATAGTGGCTATAACAACATCGTAATTGATGGGTAAATATATATATATATTACATATGATACAGCCAATATACCCATTGTATTCATTTACATTCATTTCCCATATTCCCCTCTGTTGGCTATGAATGGCTACGACATTACCATCCAACGGTTACACTCCCCTCAGCGGCCTCATCCTTGGAAACTGTGGCTCCGCCAGAATTCCCTCTGCCAGCTGAGTGGTTAGAAAGGCCACGGTGGCACCCACCTGGCATCAAAACCCTGGTGCCCTGTTGTGTTGAAAGTTACTGGATATTACTGGATAAGTTGTGGAAAGTTGCTGGACAGTTACTGGATACCTTGTGTTGAGATGCCAACCTCCTGGAAGCAAAATTGACAGCCACATTGAACCAGGTCACATTGAAAATCATTGAAACCCCCAGCCCTGCCTCCGCATACCAGTTGCACAGGGCCTTGAGTTGCTGTGGAAACACCATTGAACCACAACTCAACATACCCTCTGGTAAACATACAAATAACTATGGAAAATCACCATTTTTCATGGGAAAATCAACTATTTCTATGGTCATTTTCAATGGCAAACTGTTAAATTACCGGAAGGTAACCCAACCACAGCAGATGGTCAAACCCAGCCTCTGGAAGCAGTCGAATGTTATCATCCGGGGCAGGCAAAACACATCCACCAACTGCCAGGGTCGGCCAAATCTCCTGCGATTCCAGCTGAGAGGTCTCGGGGAACTCTGCTGCGATCAAGGGCAAAACACTGCGCAAGTTGGAAGAAATTCGAAATCTGATGGTTACCTCTGCAAATTCACAGGAAATCCATTAAAAAAACACATAAGTATCAGTATTACATCTTTCTGTTTCATGAACTACTAAAGCAACCGGTAAACCAATGACATCATGATGACATCATGGGAAAACCTTCACTGTCACACTGTCAAGGCTCCGCCATTGAAGCATCGAAGGACAGGCCGGCCATGTGAGGAACTCGATCCTGAATGGATCCCCATTTTCTATGTTGGATAAGTTGGATTCCAACAAGATTCAATGGTTTCATATAAAGTTTCATATGAGCTCTCGGGCTGAGCTCTCATATATATATAATATAGTTTCATACTCCATATTATGATTTCTATTGATATCTATTGATTTCTAGCCACTGTGAGGGGAACTATAATTGGAACAAACTTGCACTGAATCACCAGTGGGAGCCACATTGAACACTGATCGATAGGCAGTTTCTGCAGTTTCTGCAGTTTCTGTCCTCTGAGCTCAAGCGGTAGTACTGCACATGCCATCGGACATATGCCAGTAGATTCCCATGGGTCAGGATAACCCCCTGGCGGACGATGGAATTTCGTCAGCCAAAGTCTAGTGCGTGCCAGCAACAAGGGAAGGCAGCTCAAGTGGGGACATTGGAAAGACATGGAAAAAACGGACAAACCCCGCAATGCACAAGGTTTCAATAAACACTGATAAAGTGTTTACAGTGTTTCAAGCGCCTTCGGAATACCAGTCGAGCCACTTGTGAACAAAATGTAGGCCTCATCTTTTCAGTGAAGCAGTCAGCAGTCACCAGTCATTCAGAATGTCGTCCCAATGGCACTTGCAAATCCCAGGTGCAGGATCGTCTTGGCTACGGACAACACCTGCAGGTTGAAACTATCCAACATTATTCAACATATCTCAACTTAAACATGTATCAGAACATAGTGTCAAAACATCTCCGCATTCATGTTTTATAACCCTTTGATCAATCCACATCTTCCATCAGTTTTCAACTGCAACTGCTGCAACTGCAACGTCCATTCTTTCGGCCTCCGTCGCAACTTTGCTCACCGATGTCTTCCACGTAGACCACGTGACAGGCAAACGGCCAAGGTTCTGCCCATGCGCTTCGCGCAGTGATGGCAACAGCCACCTGTGTGAGATCGGATGGAATGATTATTTTTGTGTATACCAGATTACACCAGACCATACTCATTCATAGAAATTTGGATTAACATTGATTATAATTAACTATCCTTGGAAAATACGAACTGTAGATATATTGATGCATATTGATCTATATTGATCTATATTGACCTATATTGATGTATATCGATCTATATTGACCTATATTGATGTATATCGATTTATATTGATCTATATTGATCTATATTGACCTATATTGATCTATATTGATCTATATTGACCTATATTGATGTATATCGATTTATATTGATCTATATTGATCTATATTGATCTATATTGATCTATATTGATCTATATTGACCTATATTGATCTATATTGATCTATATTGACCTATATTGATGTATATCGATTTATATTGATCTATATTGATCTATATTGATCTATATTGATCTATATTGATCTATATTGACCTATATTGATGTATATCGATTTATATTGATCTATATTGATCTATATTGATCTATATTGATCTATATTGATCTATATTGACTATATTGATCTATATTGATCTATATTGATATATTGATCTATATTGACCTATATTGATGTATATCGATCTATATTGATCTATATTGATATATTGATGTATATCGATTTATATTGATCTATATTGATCTATATTGATCTATATTGATCTATATTGATCTATATTGACCTATATTGATGTATATCGATTTATATTGATCTATATTGACCTCTATATTGATCTATATTGATCTATATTGATCTATATTGACCTATATTGATCTATATTGATCTATATTGATGTATATCGATTTATATTGATCTATATTGATCTATATTGATCTATATTGATCTATATTGATCTATATTGACCTATATTGATGTATATCGATTTATATTGATCTATATTGATCTATATTGATCTATATTGATCTATATTGATCTATATTGACCTATATTGATGTATATCGATTTATATTGATCTATATTGATCTATATTGATCTATATTGATCTATATTGATCTATATTGACCTATATTGATATATTGATCTATATTGACCTATATTGATTATATCGATTTATATTGATCTATATTGATCTATATTGATCTATATTGATCTATATTGATCTATATTGACCTATATTGATCTATATTGATCTATATTGACCTATATTGATGTATATCGATTTATATTGATCTATATTGATCTATATTGATCTATATTGATCTATATTGATCTATATTGACCTATATTGATGTATATCGATTTATATTGATCTATATTGACCTATATTGATCTATATTGTATATCGATTTATATTGATCTATATTGATCTATATTGATCTATATTGATCTATATTGATCTATATTGACCTATATTGATGTATATCGATTTATATTGATCTATATTGACCTATATTGATCTATATTGATCTATATTGATCTATATTGATCTATATTGACCTATATTGATCTATATTGACCTATATTGATGTATATCGATTTATATTGATCTATATTGATCTATATTGATCTATATTGATCTATATTGATCTATATTGACCTATATTGATGTATATCGATTTATATTGATCTATATTGATCTATATTGATCTATATTGATCTATATTGATCTATATTGACCTATATTGATGTATATCGATTTATATTGATCTATATTGATCTATATTGATCTATATTGATCTATATTGATCTATATTGACCTATATTGATCTATATTGATCTATATTGACCTATATTGATGTATATCGATTTATATTGATCTATATTGATCTATATTGATCTATATTGATCTATATTGATCTATATTGACCTATATTGATCTATATTGATCTATATTGACCTATATTGATGTATATCGATTTATATTGATCTATATTGATCTATATTGATCTATATTGATCTATATTGATCTATATTGACCTATATTGATGTATATCGATTTATATTGATCTATATTGACCTATATTGATCTATATTGACCTATATTGATGTATATCGATTTATATTGATCTATATTGATCTATTCTTAGTTATTCTAAGTGTAGATACTCATCATTTTTCTTAGCGATTTCCTATCATCTCCAGCATGGCCCCATGGCATCCCCTGGGCCGGCCTCAGCATCCTGCAGGATGTGCTCCTGGCTGCATTGCATAACCCATTGAGAATTTGGGGATCTTTTGGGATCTTTGGGATTCTAGAGACCTCTGGAAAATGGAAAATGAACACCTCTGGAATGATGAATCCAGCTTTGTCTGAGTCAAAACATGACAGGAATGAAAACGGTTAAGAAATTTGAGCATGGTGTGAAATCACGATCCAGTCATGAAAATTCATGCACAATTCAGGGTA